TGAAAAAAAAAAACAAATTCAACACCAACAACGATGATAATGATGGCACTGTCGTCCTTGTCGTTTTCGACAACATCAAGCAAAGAAACTGTCAAATGAGTGTCTTGAACGCGAAAACTCCAATAAATACGGGACATCAAGCTGAGTGAGAAAAAGTTTCTCCTTCAATTTTTCACATTATGTTGCGTTAATTTATATTGTTGCCTCATTTCGGACAGACTGGAGAGCAGAACGAGAGTCCAAAGGGCGCACATCATTTGCATGCCATTCGTCTGAAAATGCGACATTTTATGGCTGCTGCTGATAACCCCATTTAGGACGTAGTTTGCATTTCGTCGCGTTGATGCTGTGCGCTTTTTTTCCCTTCTTTGCACCACAATTCCACCAATATTTTGTCACATTGTCGCTACACTGCTTGAATCTGCGCATAGTTGATGCGACCTAATTAACATCAAAGACTTATCGAAAATGTTCCAACAAACTTTTTTAACATTTTAATTATATTAATGTTGGCGTGTGCGTTTTTCTCTTCTGCTGCTTTGTCTTGAATGACGATGTGGCGCGAAAATCAGCTTCACTGCTTCAAATTAACGTCGAAAGTCATTTTCAAGTTGGTATCATCGTTTGACATTCTTCGGCGATTAAAACCGCTCATCTCTGGAGTGTTGTTTTGTTGTTGATGGGCTTCGAGAATATACATCATTCATTAGGGACATTTTGGATCTTCGTTTTTTTTTCTTTAATTTAATCCAATCCAAAGGATTTACACCACTGGTTAGAGACGGCTACGATCCAGTAATTATAAACACATTTGGCGACACTGAGATGCCATCATATAAGCCAATGTATCATCCGACCGAATTCAACGGAATAGAACCGCGTCGTTTCGTAGGAATTCACATTAACGATATTCAAAGCGGGGTTACTAACTTAAGGTTGGTTAGTGCCAAACCGCATCGCTATTCTCTGGCTCTCCTCTCATTGTGGTGGCTGCTCTCACGAGATGTCAACATTGAATCTCCGATGAATCGAACATATTTTAGATATTCGATTTGGAGTCTCATCGCAAAATTTTTGGCTCGTAAAACTATTTTTCAAGCAGCAAATCTTGATGGTCGATGGAGCCACCTGGAGCAATGAAAATGGGAAGCGAATGGCAAGAAAGAAATATGATGAAATTTCTATCATTCTGTGGTACATATATATAATGTATAATCTTAATTTGGCAAACCGCAACCAAAATAAATTAGTTTTCCTTCATCGTGCAAACCTTTTTTTTTATGGAAAAGCCAATCCCATGAGAGGCCGTTGCAGAGCCTTGTTTATATCATAAAATGGGATTTTTATTTCTCCCTAATTTCTCGGCATCTGCTACTCAGATGCAAAGCCGAATTCATCTAGCGCGAAGCTTAGTACAACAATCCGATTTCGTCCAATCGACCATCCACCTCCCCCACATTTATTGGACCTTGGCTTATCAATTACTCGTCTACACACTCTCTTCTTCACACGAGAGATTTTCATGCAATCGTCTCTGATAAAGGATAAGTGGAAAATATTTTCACAACGCCCAGTTGAAAACGGCACGCGAAAATAAAAGCAAGAAAAAAATGTGAAGGACGTGAATCAGCGAGCATCCAACAGATTTAATGCGGATTAACAGACTGACTTCATATCATTCAGTCTGTTTGTTTTCGCCCGGCTTACGAATTACGATTCTTTTATTCTCCAGTGGTTTTGAGAGTTTCTTGATAGTTATTCGTGAAGCAATAAAGGCGATTTTCGACCAAAGCCACTCGATTGTGATTAGCCGCGTGGGTGATGCGTTGAACTTACGCGCAAATGGATCACCTGATGAGGATTATACCACTTTTGATTGAGATTCAATTCGAAATCCATCGCAAACTTTGTGAGTACCAATTTCCATGCTCTATTTGTGCTACTCAGAATCAATGTCAGTGTGAGTCAACATGTCACTGGAATCCAGTGACTGAATGTATCGATGTCATCATTTCTTGTCAAAAAGTTCTTATTTTTCGTTAATACCAATGAATTGCGTTCATTTTGTGGTGGAGGCGGAAGAGGTTCGACATTTTCGTAAGTAATATCGATCCATTAATTAGAGAATTAAATGAACGCTCCCAACGCAACTGTTTGTTATGATGAAATTGGCCCCGAAAAACCAATCCCATTTGATGCTTTTAGGCAGATAAACCCCGACTGCGAATAACATCAGACGAGGAGGTTTTTTTTTGCTTTTGAATTTTTCGTCGGCCCAAGTCAAAGTTTTATCGAAGAAAGTATTCGGTTGAGTGGAAGAGAATTTCCCCAACTGATACGTTTTTAATTCGTAGAAGTTTGGTTTTGATTGAATTCAATTTAAGCGAAAATTGAACGCGAGCGTTCACTTACACAGCAACGACGGAAAGCCATTACATTGGCAATAAACCATAATTTAATTGAAAATATCGCCACATCCACAGGCCGTATAAATGCATGGGGTGTTTCTCGGCCTGATACCGTGTGTTGTAACAATAAAATTATCACCGTTGACGCGCCTCATTTTATTAGATAAGCGAAAAGCGAACAGCTAAAACTTCCTCTTTGCATGAATCAAAAGTTTTTGCACTCTTTCAAATAAACGCGGGTAGAGGTTGCAAAGATTTGTATATGGTAAAAGTGAGGACACGCATCTTGCATTAGCCTGGAAAATTTGAAAAGCTTTTTTTCCGTTGCTACAAATGTTTTCCACACATCGATGAATATAAACAACGCATGAATTTTGGGCGCCTCAAGCGCGCACGCCAAATGCGATGCGGAAAAATATTAAATTAAATGAGGAAAATAAATTTTGAGTGGCACATAAAGCCGTGAAAGAAATTGTGTGTCTGTATCGCCAGCAACCACGCACAGCCAAAACGTTGACAATCAACAAATTTATTGCCGCTGAACTTTGGCGCACAGGAACCCAACAAATTGATAAAACGCACCATGAAACGACCCATTGAAATTCATAAATATGCTTGAATTTCAATTGTAAATTGGAGAGAAGTCGGCAAACGGCACGGAGTGTGATGCAGTGGTGTGTAAAATGAAAATGTAGCCGATAATACCGTTGCGATGAGGGTGAACGCAGTCTAGCGAAATCATTAGCCAATGGAATACACATATTTTCCAATTAGGAAAATTGTAATTGCGTTTTTTTTCACTTCAGTTTTGTTGAACGAAACACTTTGTTAGGGAAGACTTTACCACTGGTGTTTGGGTTTTGGTTTTCATTGTTTGCACACAGAGCGTGTCTTTTCGCTGACATAAGCTGAAATTCAATAAAGAAACGAACTCACCACACAGTAAGTGCTTGGAACATGCTTATCTCTTGTTGTTTTCCTATTTTTTTGTCGTGTGAATGTTTGTTCTTTATCAGCCAACGGCGCCGCTACTTCAAACTAATCAGTTTGAAATCTAAGAGTTCACTGGCTTTTGCCACACTCAAAATATTATTTTACTTCTCATTTGCGTTTCCAATTTTCATTTTTAATGCTGCTGGTGTTTCATTTAATACTTTTAATCACCTCGTTGAGAATGTGCGCGCCCTGGTTCGAATAACCTGCCATTGATCCACATGTTATGCTTGTTTGCGGTGGCCCAGACCAAAATATACCAAACAAATCTCGGTTCAACCGAAATTTACTCAAGGTAAACTGACACGGAATGATTTAATTATCAATGCTTTCTCCATTCAAAACGACGGATTTACGCTTAGACGAAAGATTTTATCTTCTGAACAACACCACACAGAACTGGATCGATTTTCTTGCTTTTCATTCCCTTTCTCTATTTCAAGCATTTTACAATGAGTGAAATTGTCGTTCTCAAAATCAAGATACTCGGGAATTGAATGACATTGTATAAGGCATATAGCTCCCCAAATATCAAGCATCACGATTTGTAATTTCCTTTAATTTTTCTTTCGATGACATTTCGTTCATGCGAAAAAAGTTGTCTAATTTTCGGAACATTTGAAATTCCATTCAAGCGTTCGTTTTGTGTCATCGTTGGTTGTCAACACCGTAAGAATCTATGCTTTTGATGATGACGACTTCAAGTTGAGTTTTCGCTATGTTTTGTCGTGTTTTCCAACGGCGCACACTTTTATTTGTCGTCTACTTGCGATGAAAAAGCGATGGAACAGGAGAAACGAGAAGTCGGGTGAAAGAGAAAAAAAAATTAGAAATAAATTGCTTTGGGCAAACAATGAGCGTATTACACATGAAATTCCACTTGAAAAAATTTCCGTGAATGTGTCGACGACAGATTCTAAATCTTCGTTTCGATGGCATATTTTCTCTGTCTGCGAGTAAGAGTGAGTGAGACAAGACGGTGCAGGAAAAAGAGCGACATTTAAAGCGAAAATGCACAAGGAAGTTTACTTTCGTTGACATTTTTAATTACAACAACGTTTCCCCTTTCGATTCTACCGTTCCTCAAACTGGCTGTTTGTAGTTGGGAGTTTTCCGTTCTATTTGCTGAGTTTTTTTCTGAGAGAAAGTTCTTCTGCGCTGACATACAGAACAACAATGCTCGAATATCAATGTAGCGGTTTTGTATTTGCTGTGCAAAGCATTAAATCATACGCTACACCCGAACAAATGTCATTTGCGATGCGAATTAAAGTCTCTTAAGTTTTATGAACAACAAAAGTGTATGGGTCATCTCCGGTGTGTTTTTTTTTCGTCTTTCATTTTTCAAGTGCTTCTCCTATAAATTATGGGAAAAGTTCTAGAGCTGCTCGCCTGACTTTTTCCTTTCAGCTTCAAAGAAATGCCAAGTATTTGTAATGCTCTTCATTGTAGTATACAAATTTCCACTCAACTTATATACCCCATGAAGTGTTTGCTTCTTTTTATTTCGTTCTCTTTTAGCAGGCTATACAGTATACATTCCGTTTGTTTGTTTGTTTATGCATTTTAATTGTCAATTTTTCTACTTTTCAATTGCAGATTTCAGTGTTTGTACATGAGCCGGCACCATGAATCGAATGTGGAACGTATTTACCCTGGCTCTAATTGCATGCCTGATAAATTGTGGTAAGTAAAAAAATTCACATTTATTTATGGGGACCCACCAACACGATGGATAGCAGTAGGAAAAACATACTTGGAAAACGAAAATAAATAAATCTGCTGACGCAAGAGTGAGTTTTATGTTTTGTATGCTCGATGTGATGTGCTTGAGCAACTGAGAGACTCATTTCGAATTGAACGACACGTTTCTTCAATAAAAAGCTTGGCACGAACCAGAAGAAGGGAATAAGAAGAAGGCATACTGAAGAAGTTGGGAATAAAAAACGCAACGACCATTTTCGCTTTTCACACAACATATCGTCGCTTTACTATTGCATCCCGTGTGAAAAAATAGTAACTGCGCAGTCAGTTAACTAATTTGGGACAAAAATGACTTACTTTGATTGACATTTCAGTACAAAGTGTAGTGTAAGTCTATCATAGTTAACTGAAATCATTTGAAGTTACAAGTCAATCTAAGTTGCTTCATTTGGAACCAAGTGATTTTTTTAGAACAAAAATATAAATTCAATCAACTAAAGTCAACTGAAGTTATAGTCAGTCAGTCATTTTTTTTTCACACGGGATCGCAATTCAAGCGAATTATCTTTAGTATCGTTTAAGTGCTACAACCCATTTATGTGTCTATACGGTTTGGAAATTGGACCCAATACTGTCCTACAGTTGAAACGAGCAAAACGAAAATCGAACACAAGAAACGGTGAAAAAATGCCCCAAGAAGAAGAAGAAGAAGAAGAAGAAGACGACGACGACGACGACAAAAAGATCGAACCAAAAATGCACGCCATTGTTCATTTGGTGTGTACGAATTGTGTTGTATTGGATTTAATTCAATGTTCAATTGGTTTTTCGCGATTTGGACCATGTTCAAATACGGTTTTCCAATATCACGCTCATTCCGTTTCACACGCCATGTGAAAACATGGATGCACACTCCAAAAGAAAATTGATAACAGCACATAACGAATGGGAAAAAAAATCTAATTAAGTCGTCGTTTCAACTTTTGTATCTCTTTCACTGTTTACTTAATTTCTTTTCTTCGTCCATTCATTCATTTCACGCGCGTTCTCCATTCCAAATCGAAACACATACCATTTTGATACCAATTTCTCGAGATCGGTTTTTCGCGCAAATGCGAAGCACAACGATGAAATAATTACAACGAAAGAAGAAAAAAAAATCCATCCCGATTGGGAAAATCGAAATGCCTGAACTTTAAATCAACGTTTACATATAAAATATGGAACGCGAACAAGAGATTTGTTCGATCCCTTACGAACGAAAAAGGGATCGGAATTAATCATTTTCTGAGCTGTCTCTTGCAAAAATACCTTTGTTCATTTTCTGCGCACGAGAATTAGTGCTGCTTTTGTAATTCCTTCGGTTCAATTGAAATTGCTACAAAGGATTTTTTTCGTCCTCTTTCATTTCCGCTCATTCTTTTGCTCGAGTACTTCTTATTCTTTCCTCTTACTTTATCTATAATACTTCAAAAGGATTAATTTCAATTTATGAGCGAAAATGATATTATTTACTCTTCTGCTATTGACTGTGCCACTCAACGGTTGTCTTTGACTCTTTGTCGCTCGCTCTCCTCCTTTTTCTTTCTCCCTCTCTCGCGCTCATTATAAAGGGTTTTATGCGGTCCTTCTGGTAAGAACAAGAAAAAAATTCGGATCCAAGAAAAGAGCTTTGAGAGTGCGACTCTTGAAACTTGTCCAACAAAATAAGTACAAATCACAAGAGAAAACAAATGCTTGACTACAATTAAAAGACGAACAAACGATTCGTTGGAATGGCCGGAAATGAAAATACACCCCCTTATGCCGTTGTCAGTGAATCGCAATTCGATGGAATCGATTGAAAGGTTGTCTTCGAACTGAATCTCGTGGATCCAAAGAGCGGTGAAACCTTGTACATAATTCAATTTTCATCAGTAACACAGCGCATTCAAAATGACTTTCCGCCGAGCGAAAAGTGATTGTACGTCAAGCTTTTGAAGCATCCCAAAGAAGCCGTTGTGCATTTTAAAATGGGCAAAAATAGAAGTGAAAGGTTAGAACCGTCGTTAAATTCAATATAATAACATCAAGGCGATCGGTTACAAAAAGCCATAAATGTTGTTTGTCGACAGCATTTATTTATATAATTTCATTAAAAATTCTTTGCCGCGCGCAACCAACAAAGGTGATCTTTACCATGGCAAGAAGCTCGTTTGCCACACAAATTATCGAATTTCGTCGGGCATTGAAATGTGGGTCGTTTTTATTAAACGCAAAGTATCGCCAACAATGATATGCTTTTGTGTATAGACTAAATGTGCAGCAACCCTCCAACACCAGACTGGTGTGTATATTGAGCAAAATATTTTTGGCCAACTAATAAAATATCATAAAATAATGAACGCTTCATGATTCGGTCACATCGCCGTGTCGATTTTGTGTTGTGGCTCTGTAACTTTACAGCTCATTTTCACCAATTCCACACCGAAATTGTTTGGACAAAAATTTGTAAATGAAGGGGGAAGGCAAAAACTCCGAAGAACCGAAGAGCATCGATTGTTCTCTGCGTTATTTTATGGCATCCGAAAGTCAGCGTCTCTTTTCTCTCTCTCTTTCTCTCTCTCTCTCTCTCTCTCTCTCTGTCTGTCTTTTCTACTCACTCTCATGCATAAATGAATAAGTTTTTCGCATTGTTTGGCGAGTCAATGTGTGCGCGCCTCTCTGTTGCTGCCACTGCTGCTGCTGCTGCTGTTTCCATTCAACGGTCGGAAAATAAATGGTCGATGTGTCAGCGACAATATTCAACCGTACAAATATAATATAATCAATTTTCTTTTCATTTACATGAAGGCGGAAAAAAGTTTTTTTTTCTTTGCTCTCTCTATTTTGTGTGCCTCAAATAAATCAGCTGCAGTGCACACGGTTAAAGTATCGGGTCGAAACGGTGTCGATTCGATGAATCCATTTCAAATCCAATATTTTCCCATTTGCTGAAAGTCAGACAGAAAAAAAACAAAAACAAGAGAGAGAGAAAATGTTTGTATGAAATGTGCGAGACGCTCTTTTTGCACGTAGCACGCCATTGTTTCGTTTTTGTTCACTTGATGAAAAGTTCGACACGGCCGCATAATCGGATTAAATTGAAAAGTTTTCTCCTTGACTTTCTGAACTATCGTAAAATCAGATGTCGCTTTTGTCATTCGCTGTGGCGTCACTCTCTGATGTGGATCTTGTTTTTCCTCGGTTTCTCACACTCTTTCTCTCTCTTCCGTTCAATGAATTGGCCAAATTGCACTGGAGACTTTAATTGCAAGCTAAATAAATCAAATGGGAAAATTAGAAATTGCGTTCAACCAGCGTTGCTGATGGACATTTCCACTGCCCTTCATTATTCGAGACAAGGAATCACTGGCATTTACCACGGAACATTGAACGAAGCGAGTACGAGGATCAAATTGTGTTTAGATTTCATTGAATTAAATACGGATGCGATGAAGTGTACAAAGTTCGCATATATGCGAACAATGTTAGCGAGGACGCTCAGACACTAGAATGCACAATGCACATTTGCTGCATGCAATTATCAGTGTGTCTGAAGCGATCGCTTCTCGACGAAAACTAATGGACATTTTACTTCACTGCCTTTTCCCACCTACATTCTGACCTGAACACAAACTGGACGACCACCGTCGTTATCTCGAATCCATTTCTATTTTCGTTTGATAATTACATTTTTCCACTTATAACATTTAATTAAACCGAACAAATAAAGGAGTTTTCTATTTATTTTTCAATTATTTTTCGTGTGTGTGTGTGTGCATGATGTACGTGTGTACGTAGACATCACTGCCTGTCTATCTCTTGTAATCGCAAATGCAGCGTTGAAATCTAATTTTGCCTCCTTGATAACAAGTCCGAAGCAATTTGAAAAACTACAAACGAACTTGTTGTTCCGTTGAAAATTTTAATTTCGCTTGTTTCGAAAACTATCAACAACTTTGTGCATCAAAAGAAAACGATAAAGATCCGCTGTTTTCATAGGAGATTTTTCAATTTCGACTCCGACAAACACACATACTCCGACACACGCATTTTGATTTATCAGGAAGTCACATCACGGCTGTTGGCATTCCATTGCAACGACGACTACATTTGATTAACCAGAAAATGAAGGAAAGCGAGTGCTCGAGTAAAGCAGAAGAAAGCAAAGTGAAATAAAAAGCATACACGAGAAATGAGAACCCAATTTTTCGGTTATTTCCAGTTTGTTAAATCGCAAGAAACCGTCAACCGAAAAGGCAGCAGCACCAACTTGAAAAATTACAACATTTTCTTTTAGCTGCAAGGCAAAATGGGAAAATGAATTATTCCCAGATTAATACAACTCAACCGACTAGAAGAGAAAATGCAGTCAATGGAAAATCACTCTTCTCCGTTTGCAATTGAAATGTAGAGCGGAAGAGAGAAAAGCGCAGAAAAAAAATCAAAAGAACAAAATAGCGAAATAACTTGGAAATTTTTTACAGTTGAACATAATTTCAATAATGAATAGGAAAAAGGTTGTTTCTGCCCCGAATACCACGTAAATATGGATGGAAGACCAGACCAGGCCACGAAAAATCCGTAAAAAAAAGCAACACATTGAAAAAGGGAAATATTGCAATCACGAAGCATGACAAAGACACAGACAAAGAAAACTTTGTTTTTCTTTTCTATTTCTCTCACTCGTTCTCTCATTGCCTACTACTTTTTTTGCAATATATATTGTAGCACAGAGTACAAACACGTACACAGCAATGGCAATCAGCCATCCTCCCTCTTGCCGAGGTTCCAAGTACAGTTGAATTCGGTGCATTGCACATTATTCACTCGCTCGTCGTTCTCTTCTCTCGTACATACACACAATAAATGCAACGCAACACACAATAGATACAAAGGAGGAAAAGTGCACACCAGAAAGAGAGAAAAAAACGACAAAAAGGAGCGACGTCATGTCGAAT